CGTAGGAGTCTGTGTGCTCACTTGGAATGACCTAGGACCCCAGGGACGGAACCCCAGAGAATGCAAAAGGGCCTCGGTCAGGGTACCTTGGGCCCTGAGCTGCCGCTTCAGTTTGCTTTGGCTTAGTCAGGGCGCCTGGTGTGCTATAAATAGATTAGGGAGTCTTTCATTGGAGAAGACCTGGGAATGACTTCCTCCCAGTGGGTGGTATGGTTATTTGGGGTGATTTTCCCTGCTGCTGGTGAGGTCACCCAGCCAGAACCCTGGGGGCTTTCTCCAGATGTCCACCCGGCCTGGCCTGGCCCCAGTCCTGCCCCATGCTCACAGTGGCTTTGTGTTTTGGGTCAGACAGAGCTGGCCAAGACTAGGCGGTGGGCTGGGCTCAATCCTTCTGGCGTCTGCACTGTCCCTGATGGAGCCCTGGCGGAGGCTGGATGGGGAGTTGCACGCGGTACTTATGGGGAGAAGGGACTGCAGCTGCTGGTGAGTGACCCTGGCCAGCGAGTGCAGGACGGGGGGGCCTTCCATCAGGACCCTGCATCTACAGCAGGGTTCTGACTGTAGGTCAGCATCTCTCTGTGATTTCAGAGCCTCTTCCCACAGTCCCCTGGGCTACCTGATGCCATACTGGCCCCTCTATTCTGTATTAGAATTCCCAGTGGAGAGGCGAATGGACCCCTAGTGGCATCTACTCCCTGCTCTGTGCTCTCAGCACATTCCCATTAGGTGCCCGTGGACGCTGCTGCCGTGGTTCCCTTCCTGGAGAGCTCCAGGCCAGGGAAGGAGGAACCGGGTGCAGTAGCTTCTCTGCTCAGTAGTAGTCTTCACTGTGGCCTCTGCTTTGTGCCCCCATGCATAGTGGTGTCCTGCGGGTGGCAGCACACAGGAATGGTTGAACGGGTGAGTGGACGGGAAGACAAGTCTGTGCGTGAATTGGGAGCCCCTGCTATCGCCAGGAGATAAGGTGGCAGAGTCCTCTCATCTGCTACAGGGTTTCCTTTTTTTTTTTTTTAAACGAGAACAAGTTCACACTTTTATTTACAGTCATGCATTGCTTAACGACCGGGTTACATTTTGGGAAATACATTGTTAGGCAATTTCGTCATTGTACACATATCATACTTACACACTATGATTTGTAATCTAGACAGTCCAGCTAGATTACCTGCACACCTAGGCTCTATGATACTAACTTTATGGGACCACGGTTGTATATGCAGTTAATTATTGACCAAGATATTGTTATGCAGTGTGTAACTGTATTTACTTTTCAGGAAGTTTAAATCTTTGAGGGGACAGCATCACACAGACTCAGTGGCCTTAGCCGGAAGATTGCTTTGGAGTCTGGCACGAAGTGTGCGGCTGTTTCTATGGGCACAGGGTACCTCTCCCCACGTTCCTCTGGTTTGTTCCATTTGCTGCCAGGAGTTGCTGTGTTGTTCTTTGTACATATACGGACATCTCTTGCCCAAACAGAATTCAGTTTCACCTTGGGCTTAAACACCTTCAGTTTTAAGAAGAGCTCTGGGCTCCCTCTGGACCCTAGCCTTCCAGACATGTTTAGAAGTCCTGCTCCCCGCAGACTTCCGCAAGCTGCAAGATGGCGGAAAGAGCTGTAGGGTCTTCTTTTGAAATAAGGTTGGTGGCATCGCCACTGAAGGGATGGAGTCAAAGCACAGTGCAGACAGCTCTCTGGGGACCTTTCCCGCTTTCGGGAGAGTGGGGCTGTCTGTTTATCCCTGGAGAGGGGGAGGGCACATCAGCTGGGAATCTACATGATGTCACCACAGTGTCCATCGTTCTGTTTGCCCGTCTGTCACGTGAGCTGCTGTGTTTGAAAGGGGGAGCTAGCCACAGACTGGGACCTCTGGGGGAGGAGGTAGATGTCGAGGTGAAGATCCATGCTGCCTGAGAGGTGGGACGAAGAGCTGATTCCCTGGAAGGAGCTGGACGGAGTGTGTGCGTTGGGGGTGGGGCCCTTAGGTCAGGTCCTCAGACAGACTCATGTGCAGGAGGTTCAAGAAGGGGGTGTGCTCTTGAGAGCAGCATTGCAGTGCAGTCACGAGAAGTCCTGGCCAGCCCCCTCGGGAGCTCTGAGCTGGATGGCCCTTCAGAATTGTTTGACTTGAGGCACGGGAGTTGATAGGCCTTTGTACCCCAACACTGACTAGCCATTGGATGCGTGGCACCCCATACCCCACCACCCCAGCTACAACCTTGGGCAAAGGAGGGACTTGGCTATGAGCCGCTGCAGCTGGGGACACCCGGGTGGCGCACTACAGCATCTACTCTAGAGAGTTTGGGCGTTTGACAACAGAGGAGAGGAGCAATCTGGGAAGGCTGCGTGGTGGAAGAGGCATTCTAGTTGGGACTTGATGAATGACTAAGATTCTGACATTCAGGGATGGTGGGGGCAGGAGGTGGTGGGGGTGAGTGAACAACTATAACAAAGACATCTTCTGAGACCAGCACGTGGAGTTGATGGAGCTGGAGTGACGTCAGTGGGAAGTCCATCTGAACAGACAGACGGGTGCTTTGCTGGAGATGGGTGCTTGCTGAGGGGCTGGGGTGGGCGCTACAAAGTTTGGACTTTATCCTGTGTGCTGTGTTGGAAAAGAGTCAGCAATGGATTTTCACTGGTGAGTGAGCTGCAGAGGACGCGGGGCTCCGGGGCGAGGGGTCTGCTAGCTGTGTGTGGGGAGAGACAGGAGGCAGGAGGACACGGAAAGGAGAAGAGGAAGGGGGTATGGGCCTGGAGGGGGCGCCTCCAGGCCCCAGGCACTGATCAGAGGTGGCTGGTGGGCCATGGGGAGGAGCTGGTGAAGCTGTGGAGGTTGTCCCTGGAGCTCCAGGGGCCAGGTTGGAGAGGAGAACCTGAACTTGACCCTGTGGGCCTCGGGGCAACACTGTGGCCCCCAGGTGGGGCCGATCCAGCAGGAGGACGGGAGGCCTCTTCAGAAAAGAGACTGAGGTCTGAGGCCGGGAGGCACGTCTGTACTCTGGGGGAGCCCGCCTTGGTTTTTACGAAGGCTGTTTTCTCATCTAATGGCGTCTCCACATCCAGCTGGCCTCTCTGTTTAATTTAACTCCGATGAGGCACCTGCCGGCCATGTGCCCGTGTCACCCAAGCCCTTTACGTGCATTCATCCATTTAATGCCCTTATGACCCTATTTAGGTACCATTTTTATCCCCATTTTACAGTCGAGAAAAAGAAAATACAGGGCTAGGTGAGGTCCAAAGGTCGCTCAGCGTGTGGGCAGCCAGGCCCGGAATGCTTTCCCCTGCCCTCGGGCTCCGAGTGGCCGGTGGTGTTCACAGTGGGTTCTCCAAGTCTTGGTGCCCTCAGCGCCAGCGCACGCCCCTCCTCAGGGACGCCTCTGAGCCTGCTCTTCTGGTCGCCCCTCCTGAACGACCCCGCTGCACTCTCGTTCCTCGTCACATCCTCCCTGCTCTTCCCTCACTGACCCTCTGTGCCGTTTTCTCTTAAGACATAAAAGGACTATATTATCACCCCACTCCTGGAGCCGTAAGCTCTTTAAACCCAAACAGTGGGTTTTAAGATTTTAAGACCACTGATCAGAGCCCTGGGGGGCAGGAGCACTGGGACCTAAAAGACCAGTTAGCCCAACCTCTTCATGTTGGATGAAGAATTGGAGGATCAGAGAGGTAGTGTGGCTTGCCCAGGGTTGCACAGCAGACTAGAGGTAGAGCTGAGGCAGAGAGTTGGGACTGAGGAGTCTCTTGACTCCTAATTGAGAGCAGCCATGGAAAGGTTGTACTTTTTTCTGCTTTTAATTTTTAAGACAATTGAATTTTCAGTAATAACATTTTTGATGAAGTAATGTCATATCCATATATTGGGCTAACTTTAAAAATAACTTTATGCTAAAAGCTTGTATGTGGGCATTTGGCATGAATGCAGTGACCGCCTCGGGTAGATGCCATTGTCGATCTCCTTTTACAGAGGAGGAACCAAGACTGTGAGAGGACCATCCCCCTGGCCAAGGTCAGCTGGTGCTAAGAGGCAGAGCGGGGCTTCAGGCCGGCCCTGGACTCGCCGATGTTCATTGCTCCTAACCACTGAGCTATCTGGCCCCTTTAATGATTTTGCAAAGATATTCATAAAAGTCAGTATGTGGAGGGAATGGCAAATCTGATTTTGTTTTGTTCTAAAGATGTATAAATGCCTAGAGAGCAAATCCACGTAGATCCCACAGTGTTGAGAGCCGTGACCTCGCGCTGTAGGATTAGGAGTGAGATGCTTTTCTTTTATGGTTTTCTACACCATCAAGTTGTATATAGTGAGAAAGCATTATTTTTATCACCAGCTAGTTTCCTGAGCGGTCTCTGCTCGCGGCGGTGAAGTGGCAGTGTTCGCAGTGATGATATAGCTGTGGTGTTAGCTTTATTTCTGGCTGGACCGTGTAGCTGGGCATCGGAGGAGGGAGAAGTGGCCGATCAGATGCAGCAGTTGTAATTCAGACAAAGATGCAGGGCTGTGGAACCCCAGGAAGGACTTTGGAAATCACCCTCGTTTGACAGAGGACCACGTCTGTGCAGACGTCTGGGCCGGGCTCCTTCCACTGGGCTTTGGAGTTTCAGGGGACAGTGGGCGTTCAGGGAGAAATGCCCACTTGGTAGCTAGGGTTCCAGGACTAGAGACAGAGGTGGAGGTGCGTGCATTAGCAGCCTCGGGGGATAAGAGAGGGACTTTTGGTATGTTTTAGAGGATCCCAGCCAGAAGGCCAGCTCCTTCTGGTCCCAGCTGCCTGGAGAAGGGTCCCCAGCAGAGAGAAGGCCCTGTCGTCGCGAGAGGCAGGAAGGGAGTGGGGTGTGGGAACAGAAAGCAGGCTCCCACGTGCGTCCCGGGGTTGGGGAGGGAGGACCGGCCAAGTCTCTGTTTTTCCCAGCTTTGACCATCTAGTTCTGCTCTGTGGTACTCGGAGCTTCTGCCCTATGAAATTCTCAAAGCAACTGTGTTTTTTCTTTCTTTGACCAGAGACCACCTGGGAGCGTCCCGGCAGTTCTCCTGGGATTCCGGCCAGCCCCGGCCCTCACAGGAGCTCTCTGCCTCCGACAGGTACTGTCCACTCACTACTTTGGGGCATCGGGGAGGGGCCACACACCCACCTTCGTCGGAAAGGCCGGGACTCTGGATCCCGGAGTCTGAAACCTGGCTGGGGACCTACGGGCCAGACCCAGACAGGGGTCCCGTGGCCTGTTGCCACGCAGGATGGTGGCCGTCTGGCAGTGCCAGCAGCAGTGCTGGCGGACTCACCCTCACCCCCGCCGCTCAGGTGGTCAGGGAGGTGAGGCAGCTGGGTGAGGTGAGGTGCACGGCTCTGCCCGGCTTGCCAGTGCAGGGACCCCCAGTGGGGGCAGAACCCCTCCACACGGTTCCCGGAGGCATTGAGGAGTAGAAGTTTAAGGAGGCAGGTTTTTGCAGGGCAACTTTCAAACTGAACATTCTGAAAGGGAAGTGAGAGTTCTTGGGAGGAGATGAGTTCTCTGTCTGCAAAGGTAATCAAGTGCAGCGGATCAAGGTATATTTTCTTGTCATAGGTGGGAGGTTGGTTACTCTCAGGGGATGTCTAGTTCTGAGATCCCAGGAGGCAGATTGCAGGACACGCCAGCAGGGAGAACAGCTTCTGACTTCTCGTGGTTTAGGCCTTGTTTTAAATGTCACATCCTCCGGGAAGCCTTCCCTGACCACTCAATTTAGAGCCCTTGCTCATGACTCTGGATGCCACCAGCGTGCCGTTTCATTGCCCTCAGAGTACTTCTTCCTGTGGGTTGTTGCTCTCCCACACTGGACTCTCAGCTCCCTGAGGGTGGGGACTGTCCCTTTCCTTTGGAATCCTTGTGGAATCCTCAGTCCCCAAACAGCCTGGACTCCACGTTGAGTGAATTCACAGATGTCTCCACGATCAGATGGTGCGTGAGCCCCGTTTGTTGGTTTTCCACTTAAGGTGTCAACCTGGAGGCCAAGCCTGGAAGTTGGGGTTGCATCCCAGAATTTAGACATTTATAGCTTTGAAAATGTGGCAGATGGTTGTAGCTGGACAGAGTGGGGTGGGGCAGCAGCAGCATCCTCAGCTCACGGGGAGGAGAAAGGAGGGTGGGGAGAGCCTCCGTGACCATCGTGGACACGTGTTTACCTAACACCTCACAGGTCACCAGGGGAAGAGCTAAAGACGGTCACAGGACCCTCAAACCCTGGTTCTGGGGGAGGGCGGGGGACACAGAGAGACTGGGCCAGACCCCCACCTTTCGTTGTGGGGAGTCTTTACATCGTCTGCCACGGATGCATTCAGAAGTCAAAGTATAGTCAAAGTACGTTATTTAGGGATATGAAAGCTGCCAGCTGAAGAACTCAGAACCGAAAAGGTGGGAAAACAGACCTGGAGGATCAGCTGAGCTGTGGGAGACGGCGTGGGTGGGTGCTTCCTACTGAAAGTTCTTCTAGGCTTCTAGAATGTTCTTATTTATGTTTTATTTTATTTTTTTTGGTGAGGATGATTGGCCCTGAGCTAACGTCTGTTCCAGTGTTCCTCTATTTTGTTTGTGGGTCTCTGCCACAGCATGTCCACTGACGAGTGGTGTGGTTCTGCCCCCAGGAACTGAACCCTGGCTGCCGAAGCAGAGCACACCGAACTTAACCACCTGGCCACGGGACTGGCTCTATATTGTATTTTCTTAGTTAAATTTTTTAAAGAAGAAGGAGCACCTGAGGGTCAGGGTGGTGGGGCATTTATTCCTTGTTTCCAGGAATGGGGTGAGTGTTCCACGCTCAGACCGAGTCCCCAGACTTGGGCCCGTCCAGCCTCCCTAGCTGCCGTGTGACAGTGGGCAGTGCTGGGCATGCTGCCTTGCCTTTCGTTGTTATTCTTGTGCTTTTTCACAATAGAAAGACCAGCGTGCATGATGTGAGGCGGTCCTGTACCTGGGCTGGCTCTAGCTGTCTTTTCCGGCCAGAGTGGTCCCCAGAGCAGGACGGGGCATCAGCTCGGTCAGGGGGAGGCTTGGGTGTATGGAGGTGACAGGTGAACAGCCGCACCTGCTGCCTGGGCTGGTCGGAGGACTTGCCCTTTGAGCCAGTGGGGTCACCTCTCCAAAGCCAGCTCTCCCTGGCACCATCCCCAGCAGCATCCTGTCCCCTCTCCACTGTTTCTGGGGGGCCATCCCCCAGAGGAGGGCTGGGAGGAGCTGGCTCAGGCCCCCTGGCCCAGAGGGCTTGGTGTGACAGATTCCTGCCTTCAACAAGTACAGCAAGAGGCCTGTCCACCCAGCGCTGAGCTGGGCTGGGGCTCGGAGGGGGCCGAGACCAGTGGAGGGGATCAGAGCCGTGATGGGCACAGCCAAGGCGTTAGACAGAGTGTGTGGACCCTGACTTTCCTTCCTCTGCCCCCACCGCAGGGGCCCAGGGCACCAGTGTCCCACATCCATGGGCTCCTAGGTCTGTCAAGGTGTCTGCCAAAAAGGGCTCCATGGTCAAATGTAGCTGGGCCCCCCCGCCTCCTCCGCTCCCCTTTGAGATTCTAGATGTACATCAGCCTTCCAGAGGCTCAGAGGGGGCTGCCGTGAAGATACCTGTTGACTCGGAGCTGCCACCCTTCCGCTGGTCTGCTGTGTACACACGTGCTCGTTATGCTGCCTGACTGCAGTTGCAGAGGCCCTTAGCTCTGGGTGATTCTCCTACTAGGGGACATTGGACCAAGTATGGAGACATTGTTGGCTGTCACATTCCAGGGAGGTGCTCCTGGCGTCTGGTGGGTGGAGGCCCGGGATGCTGCTCACCGTCCTACGGTGCACAGCACAGCTCACCCCACAGAGACCGTCCAGCCCGAGTGTCAGTGGCGCTGGGTGGAGAAACTCAGAACATCAGGTCAGTACTGTTCTGGGGGCCACTGGACGGCCAACCTGGCTCGTCAAAATGAGAAGCAGCAGCAAAACACGCAGGACCCTGGCTCTTTGATTCTAAGACCCGCCTTTTGTTTTCGCCCACGTTTTTAATATCTTGGAAATTAGGTGCATCCTATAATCAATGGTGTACCCTAGTTTAATTGGAAGCATCTGTTTTTCTTTCTTAGTGGTACTTGAAATAAGGGTGCCTCTACTAGCCAGTGACGTCTTGGATTTGAGAAATTGCGGCTCGTTGGCCTGGGGGCTTGGGCGCGCTGCTTCCTGCCTCACTTTGCCCGCCTACCAGTTGAGGGCTGGGAGGAGGACCGCACCGAGTCCTGTCCAGTCTCTGTGGTTTGTGGTTCACGATGCTCTCCATCCTGGGGCATGAATGTGCATCAACAGTCCATCCGCACCCTGGGGTGGAAGGGAAGAGAACCCACCAGGGAGGCTATTGCATCTGGGATGTTCTGACATCTTCCTTTCTAGTTTTTGAATTAGATCTCATACCTGAAGAAGAAAATAGCAGCCGCATTGGTATTTCTTTCTGCCGGGGGCGCTGGATTTTTCCCAGCCCTGCTCTCATTCGCTTTACAGGCAGCTTTCAGGACGTGGGGTTCTATTACAGGGAGAGGACTAGACTCAGCGAGGACGTGAGGTTGCTTCAGATCTTGGCTGTCCCCAGCCTCACGCTCCAGGGTTGTTGACTGCTCTCCTGGAGACCACTCAGGCCCTGGATCTCAGCCCCTTTTGTTCAGCTCGTGCTCCTGCAAAGCAGGAGAGATGGAGTTTCAAACCTTTCATTCAAGAAATATGCCAGAGGTTGCTCTTGGTAGAGGGGGTACAGCCATAGACAGGCCAGACCTGTGGTCCCTGCTCCCAGGAACCTACATTCTAGTGGGGAGTTGGACAAACAAGAAAACATGAAGTATGTCAGATATAGCTTGTATGTTCTAACGCAAGGGATTAAAGTAGGGCAGTGTGACAGAGAGCGTGACAGGGGAGTCAGGGATGGCCTGAGTGAGGAAGTGACATTTAGGTCAGGCTTTAATGAAAGTAAAAAAACGGATATGTATGTGGGGTGGTGATGTAGGTTTCTAGGCCAGGAAGCAGCTAGTGCAAAGACCCTGGGGCAGGAGTGACCTTGGCATATTTGAGACCACAAAGCAGGCCCTTGTGGCTGTAGGGTGGGGCACAAGGGGGAGAGTGGTAGGTGATGGGTGGTTGGAGGGGGCGGTCAGCTAGGGTGGAACCTGTCCAGCTCCCCAGTCCGGAGGCAGGTGCTGAGGTTTCATTCTGAGCGTGATGGTTGGAGCTGGGGGTTAGAGCAAAATGCAGTGGAGGTGTCTTGTCCTCCTGATAACTCCTTGAAGCAACCAGGTGGCACTTGGCTCTGTTGACTGCTGTCGGTTAGCAGTGGTGGGGGTTGGGGGGGAGTTACCTCCGAGACGGCCGGGGGTGTGGGCGAGGGCAGTGTGGAAAACTCAGCCACGTTCATTGACAGCAAACATTGCATGTGGTCACTCCTTGAAGAACATGGAACATCAGATCAGGTGAGGAAGAATGTCGGCGGGAACCACAGCTTAACCCAGCCAAGCCCAGGCAGGGGCGAGGAAGGCCCTGGGGCTCAGTTTTACTTTCGTGTTGTCACTCCGTGATCTCTGGGAGAGGGTGTGAAGGGCCACCACAGACAGGGCTGGCTCTTTCTTCTTAATGCAGGTTTGTGGGATCCCAGAGGCCCAACAGCCAGGTCACCAGCTGGGGAGAGAGTTCTGGAAATACGCCCAGGGTCCCCCCTAAATTGGACATTGGGTGCCTATTGGGGTCAGCACTGGGCCGGGGGACTTTTCCTGTGTGGCTCCCTCTGATGTCACCAGAGTTAGGGGAGCATGTGCATTTGACAGCTTTACCAGGGGCGTTTAATGCTGGGCTTTCTGGGGGAGAACCCTGTAAGTAAAGTTCAAACGCGAACAGAATACCTGAGGCTCTATTCGGTGACTATGGCAAATATTGACAATCATCTTTGGGCTGGTTTAATATGCAGGGTGGAAGTAATGACTTAGAGAAACAGAAATAGTATCAGTGAGACGGCAAGAAAATGTGAGTGAAAAATGAGGTTCTGGGTGTGTCGGGTATGAGTCATGGGTAGAATGAATGACAGTGTGTTTATTTATATTT